CATTTTAAAAAAAACGGAAACCTTCCAGTACACACATTTCACCTCTTGTCACCACCCGAGTGTTAAAAAAGGATTTGTCAAAGGAGAAGAAGCCTTGAGAATCCTACGAACAAACTCCTCAAAAACTACGTTTGAGGAAAATATTTCAAATTTCAAAATACGCTTGATTGACAGAGGCTACCCACAAACTATGATAGAAAACCTTCTATCAGATATAAAGTTCACAGAGGGAGTCTGCTCTCTTGAAACACAACAACAAAGAGGAAAAGAAATTATTGCCTCGTGACACAGTACCAGCCCTCAGTGTCTACTTTAAAAGAAGTTTTAATGAAAACTGGAATCTTATACAAACCCAACCGTTACTTCGCCAAATTTTTAAAGAACCACCTATCATTTCCTACAAGAAAGGAAAATCCCTAAAGGACATGCTCGTTAGAGCTAAAATATAAATGTATTTATCATGGGTTATGTAACCTTTTCTTTGGGGTGTTACATGGTATGCTGTTCTGTTGCTTCATTAGCGGTAGGCTATATATATTCGAGTTGTTCTCATTTATATTCATTCGCGTCTTACGACTGTCCCTACGCCCTCAAAATTAAATACCCAGTGACCAGGGGTTTCTCTTAGCGTAGTTTTTGCATGCTGCTATATGAAAGGTTTAGCACGTTTTGTATGTTTACTGAATCATTGTTATCTGAGCATAGTTTAGATCATTTTGTAGGGTTGTTCTTCTTGCTGTAATTTTTACATTTCGAGTTTTCATTCTGTTTGTTGTATTATTTCCATCCATTCTGTTGATGAAGGCATAATAAAGAGGGTCTCATTCGTGTTGACACACCCCAATTGAGGTTGCTTGTTACATGATAAATGTTTTATATTCGCTTGAGCGGGGTGGAATTAGAATATAAAAGGTTTACACAAGGTTTAGGTATAGATGTGCGGCCTGTCACCCCTTGCATTTTCTCAGGCAAACAATTGAAACAAATTAAAAGGGATGAATATTCAACACACAAACGGTCATCCATTGCTGAAGCGTGGTGCTTTTTCGATGAAGACTGGGGGTTAAGCTAAAGGAGAGCTGGGTCGAGTAAAGTGGCGAAAATCAAGATGGCGGCTGTTTATCAAGTGTGATCTTGTAGGCAGGTACGCTTCTTCTAACTCTTTTCTCCGTGAAAGTAAATTTGGTTGATTAGTTAGGGTAGTCCGCAGGGTAGTCCGCGGACTAGTCCGTAGAGTAGTCCACGGAGTAGTCCGTAGAGTAGTCCGCGGAGTGGGGTCAGTGGGTAGTCCGCGGAGTGGGGGTCAGTTTTTTCAACTCTCCCTTTAGTGCAAATACACAGTTTTTTTTTTTGGTTTTTGGCAATTTAACTCAAGAGAAATTTTCAGTTAGTTTTAGAACTAGACAAAAAAGACTTAGAGTACTTTTAAATATACTTTCTTCAATCCTGTTCTTTTCACTAGACTTGTCACTAGTTAAACTCATTCTGTTCCAAGAAGAGGCGATGATTAGAGAGAGGCATTTTAGGTTCACAGTTTTCTTAGTAAACTGTTTTACAGTAAACAAGAGAAAAACAAAACAATCAAATTTTTCTTAGAAATAAGTCAAGGTTACTTACAGAGCCCTTCACTGTGAGAAAAAAGTTTACAATTCTGTCTTCACAAAGCACAGGATGCCGTACAACAAGTGTCAGAAACCGTTTCAAGGCTCTTTTTCTGGCCTCGATAAACTCTTTACTACCTGTAAGAAAAACAAAGAGCACAGGCTATTCTAATTTTGAAGATTTTAAAACAAGGGTTGTTACCTCGCTAATGTCCTAGAATTAATCCTTAAAACACTGGTGTGACACAATTCCGCTCAGACGTTTGTTGAACGATTTCAGCTATTCATTTTAATGTGTTGCATGATTCAGCGATGAAAAAAAGTACTTGCTATTTCTGATTGTACTAATGTTTGCTTTATTGCTGAAGATTTACTCTATTGTGTATGAAAAGGAATGCTCCATGTCAACTTCCCAGCCATTTCTTCTCTTTTGCATATTAGACAGATATTGGCCCTTTCTTGAAAAATCTGGCCCCCAAAAATGGCTTGTAGAAGCCACTTTGGCCCTCAAGCAGAATTTTCTGGCTGGAACACTGGAGTTGGTCATTATCTCTTAACAAAGTGAACATTTAAAACACTCATTAATCTGGCAAGTTTTTTTATGGGAGCTTTAAGGAACATTTCCAAAGCTGTCATTAAGAGGCATTACCCGTAACACCTGTTATGGCTGAGCTCACTAATGATGTTATGAGTGATCGAAGTGGAAAGCTAACTAAACACCATAAATTTTATGTGAGATGTTACGGGTGATTCTTCATTTGCTACGGCTGCTTCAAAACTTAATCACAACCCTGATTTCATTTTTAATTATAAACTGGACAGTCACAAAAGAGAATGATGAAATCTTAAGAACCTACCACCCATGAGCTTCTTAGGAGGAAGAGTAGGGATAAGACGATATGGAAACCGCGATAACAGCATGTCATGGAATGCAACAAAGTCATTGTAACGTCGATTGACAGTACAGTTATGTCTCTGAAACAAAAAAGAGTTTATGGGACAATACTACCGTCAGTAAAATTAGCAAGTTTTGAAAACCATTATTTTTGCACGTCAGCTTCTTGATAGGAGAAAATGGTTCATGGCTCACTTGTTCTTACATGTACAAGGCCAAGGCTTGGCCTGTACGTTTCCCGAGAAGGTACTTTAAGGGTAATGGTCAAAACTGTCTTTTCCATACAGCCTGAATCCACCACTCTACAGAAAGATTGGTGATGTCTCTGCATACCCACTTGCACATCAAAAAATGATGGTGTCTCATTAGCATAGCTTCCTCTCTTATTCTAGCAAAGCCATAATATTTCAATGCTCCATTGCAGTTTGTCATACAATGAAAGTTTTATACACACAAGATATTTCAGTCTTATCTCCAATTTTCCCACCAAAAATATTTTGTCCATCACACTCACCAGATGGCCAGTGTGGCATGTCCTCTATAGCCCTACCACCCTCATTCAAGAGAAGTCCTTATTGAGTACAACTTTCTACTCTGTATTTTGATTGACAATCAAATATTTCAGTCTTTTTCTGCTTTGAAATTAGTGCAATTACATTAAAATGATGCATCAAAAGTAGCATTTAAAGGCCTTTAGCTAGTAGTCTGTCTAATCTCTGTCACTCCGTCAGTTTCTGTTTCAAATAGAAGTGATCGCAATTCAAAAGCAAAATAAAAACACAGAACAGAATAAAAAATCATAATAATCATTATTGACAGCTTTTTTCCTCTTCCTCACCTTACTGGAGACATGATATTCGTTGTGTTTCAAGATGATTCCCTTCTTTTCTGGTACAAGCTCAACATCAACTGTATCTAGACCAACAAGTTCATCATAGTTATATCCCAGTACATTGGGGTTGTTTTCACGTCTCTGTCGCACACTGAGAGTTTTCAAATCAGACAAGTCTCCCAATGAAGGCTTTGGTAACTCTGTAGGTAAAATAAAAAATGATAATGATGGAGTAAAATAATAATAATAATAATAAAAATGATAAAACATATATATCTAATTCAAGAAAAAAAATTTAAAATCTTTATTACAAAACCTCAATTAAAATCCTATTTACAATCAACCTGCTGTTACAAAAAATCTAATTAATTCATCAAAACACTATCTACAATTCCATTCGTTACAAAAGAAACCCCTATTCATTTACAAATTCTAAAAAATAGAAGTAACTTAACCTTACATAAAAGAAGAGGAAATAGATATAATTAATAATAAAAGTTCAAAATTCTATAAAATTAAGAATTCCATTATGCAGAGATATTAAGATCATACAATCGAATTATACTAATGACGGCTAAACCAGTGTCCATAAAAAGCCCTAAGTATAAAAGCATATAGACACGTATTTCAGATATCCGCACTCGCGACATTTATTTTACAGTCTAATGATTGCTCTATCTTGCTACGAAACGGCATTCGCGAACCTCTGACGCATGCATGTACCGATCTTAAGAGTTCAAAGGAGATCTGTGTCCTGAGCCAAGTGATTACAACATGATAAGGCTCGGTGTCGCTGACACTCATTTCCCATTCCGCCATTGGTTCCAAACACTAAAGGCGTAACCGAACCCATTTGTACATCTAACACCCACTGCTGGTACTTGCGCTTCTTCTCTTCTTCTTGCTCTTTGAACACTTCCGATGCTGGCTTGCTCTGGTAACACTTGGAGTTGACATGCGTAACTCTAACATCAAAAAATGCCGTAACTCCTCTTGCCCAGAAACCTCCCACTTTGATGTCCAACCTTGCCTAAGAACTTGTAACAGCGCTCCTCAAATGAAATCGCTCGTTGTCCAGGGGTTGAAGGCGTGGTTCGATTTCGACATTATTGCAGATCTTGTCGACGAATGTCGTTAACAAGTTCCGTACACCGTCATGTCTCTGCGCTACAAACCCCCCCTTTTTACAAGAGAGGGCGTGACTAACGGTGAATTTATCCCCACATATGCAATGACTTGGTAAATCGACTAAGGGCAAGTCATAATGCAAGCATAGCGAGTCTCTGAACTCTTGCTTGTTGAGGGCTAAACCTTTGTCTGCGAGAGGCATCCCATTCAGCCAAGAACTTGCGCCCTTGTCCCTCGATTGATTAACCAGACGCAGCTGGCCTGGGGAGAGGCTTGAATTAATGCTATCCATTTTCTCTTTGGCACTTGCTCTCTTAAGTGATTGTTGATGCCTCTTTAGCTCCTCCATAGATCTTTCTCCTGGCACCATGATGGAACTCTGTGAAGTAATAGAATCTACGTGCGCGGTGGTTATTAGTCTCGAGGCAGCAAACTGCTGCGGTGCCTCGGATTTAGATCAGGAATGCCTAGACCCCCTTGACCTGTTGCTAATGTAGCAAGTCTGCGCACCTCGTTAGGGAGAGGCTCTGATTGACCGAACAAAGTTGGGAGTAGTAAATCTTCAATCACTTCCTGGATTGGATCGACATAAACTTCAAACGATTCAATTGTGCGCATGAAGTAGGTGAACTTCGACTTGTAGCCTTTTGTGAAAGCAATATACGCCGCATGGGGCTGGCTCTTCGCTATTTCAGAGAGACGTTTGATTTCCTCTTTCCATGCACGAACCTTCTCCTCACAATACTGATCTTTGTATTCTTGCGATGCAATAACTGCTCCCAGATGGCGCTGACCTTCAGTAATAATTCAATAATAATAATAATACACTTTATTTAAAGAGGGTAGCACAGAATTGTTACAGACACTAGTAAACTTGTGGCCCTCTGAAAAATAAAGGTTCCTTTGGCAGCACGTCATTCGCAATTGGGCATGTGGAACTCACTGTAATGATTTGCTCGAGTGACCGACAAACAATATCTTCCTGGGCTGAGTTGTTCAAAGTTGGGTTAAGATAACCCAGGGTTAGTGTGAGATTTGCATTCAGATTTAAAAGCTTAAAAAGCATTTCAGTTTTAATTCTTTTTGTCTACAAGTTGATGATTGGAAGCTCTAAAAATAACAGAGAAAATTATCCGAGAAAATGCTTTTGAACACAAGAAATAGAAACCCAGGTTAAATTTAACCCTGGTTTAAAGTGCTAATCGGCCTTCGAACAACTGGGCCCTGGTATATAATTGCCTATTGCCCAAAGCAACCATCATTTGAATCAGGTGTATAGGGTATGTAGGTCGCTCAAGCAATTTCCAGTGGCCCTTGGAAACTAACTGATGCCTTTGGGTGATGAAAAAAAAACTCAGCTCAAAACTCATTAGTTAGATACCTGTGATGTGTATAAAATGATGAGTTACAGACAGGCCATTCCTTTACCTGCATCAATAAATTGTTCCAGTGCTTTGTCAGATATACTTTTTCCTTGCTGTGCAAGAGCTGTTAATGCTAGTGCTTTGTACAAGCCATCTCTTGTTACATACCCATCTTGCCTAGGATCCACCGCCTCCCAAATCTATAATAAAATATATTACTATAAAGATAAATGAATAATCAAAAAATCATTTATACTATGACTATCATTATTCTTGCTGTCAGAGGTCCCAAATCAAAGTTTAATAACGGTATTAATGAAATTTAGGGACCCAGAAAAAGCAGAGGCTTCCACTTTTGGCAGCCAGCCTCTAGACTGAATAATGCCACCATGGCTGGCAAAACCCAGAGCTGGAAACTAAAATTTTGGAGTACTTGCCATCAAGGCCAATGACATTCAAACTGCACTCCCCCAGATCAGTTTTCACTTGCCCAAAGTCTTTGCCATAAAAAAAATAGCTCCCTCCGTACTGCATGGAAGTTCACTCACCGTCCTCTTAATTCCAGGAAACAACAACACACTTGTGTACCTCAAGCAAAATGTTGAAATTATGCACTAAAAGCAGCGGGAAAGAGCCGTTTACCTGCGTTTTGAAGCTCCGTGGACAAAACAGTGTATTTAAGGACCAGAGGTATTACTTTGTACCAGTTCATCGTTCATGTAACAATCATCAAAGCAGAGGCCATTTTGACTGTTTATGAACCGCTTTTAAAAAATACCAACCAGTGTTGACGGACTTTTTAGAATGGTAAGCTTCTGGCTTGAGGATTATTTCCAAGTTGAAAGTGAAAAGTGACATTTATTTGGAATAAATATACTACGTATATGAAAACTGTACTGGCCAAACTGGGCTAGTGATCCTTGATTTATACTCCCCAGACCATTTCGAAACTTGCCTGGGCGAGCACCAATGTCCAATCCTGACAACCGCACAACCAAACCATGAGACCAAGCCATTTAAGAGACAAAATTTCTATTAAGTTTTTCGGTTTACATCAAGTGACAAGCGACCTATTGCTGTCTCTCCTCCCCACTTCTTTCACTTTTCTTGCCCCATTTTTTCCTTTTTCTTTCATTTGCTGGGATTTTCTAGGCTTAATTTTGGCTAGAAAAGTTTTTGGAAAAACAGTTGTTATAATCGTATTCAAGATTAGATTTATGGAAGTGCAGTTGAGTGGTGGAAAAAGAATTTCATTGGAATTTTTGCATCAACTTTGGATAGTTTTTTTGCATTTTTCTCTAGCCTGTTTGATTTCATTGTGCTCATTCTGGTTTGAAAAATTTCTTCCCCCTACACAAGTTAGGTGTCAAAGCTGTCCACGGCAGTTAAAACTGAGGACATCACAAGGGGTACAAGGAACAGGGTTCAGTACAGGTGGTTCGGGTGTAATTGGCTTAAGTAGACACCAAATCCTGCCGAGACCCATACCGTCTAATTAGTAATTATTTCATGTAAAACAGGTGTAGTAAAAAAATAATGATCTGAAAATGTATTTATCAGCCTGATTATAGAGTTATTAGCGACTGGACCTGTCAAAGATCGTTATTAGCAGCGCCTAAATATGTCATTAAATACCAATACCTCGTGTTTGTATGCTTATTAATTACAAGTACGCATCGCGCATAAATGGCGGAATGAAAACAAACAAAAATATATTCATTGAATACTTTTAAGGAATCATAACGGCACTGATCAAGCGCAGATAAACAACAATCTCCAAAACAAAAAACAAAGTCAGATGACGCGAATGTATTTGCGAGTACTGCGAGCGGAACAACTTTTTCCCTGTCTGAGACCAACGAGTGCGCGCCTGCTCCCCAGCTGGGAGAGGGTTCTTGGAACGTCGACCCCTGCCTTTCACCAACTTACTTAAGTCAGCCAATTGCCTTCACATTATACTTTAAGAACTCCTTAAAACTCACCTGGCTCAGAGACTGTTTGGGAAGACTTGACTTTACCAAGATCTTCACGAACATGTCGCGCTCGATCCTCTCCTCTTGGTTCGGGCATGCTATCTGATAAACTTCCCGATAGTAGGCAGGCACGGAACCTGCAGATTAAACCACAGAAATTTTAAGCAATAAAATTTGAACCAAGAATTACTTTTTAAACTGCAAATTTCTTTGCATTCTATAATAAATTGAATCGATAGACACCACTCATTTTACACAGTACGTACCAAAGCTCAATGCAGCCGCCATGTCCTTGATGATCACACATGCAATGCGCGCCTCCCCCCTCACGTGACACTAATCACACCATTTTCAATATGGCGGACGAAGTGTTCCAAAGTGACACTAAATGTTTAGATCAGTATGATTATTTTTTTCGTTCTGATCTTCTTTCTGGTAAAGTGGCGTTTATAACTGGAGGTGGCTCGGGAATTGGTTTTACCATTACTGAAGTGCTGATGAGGTAAAAGACCCGTTTAAAGTTCACCTTAATTAATGTAACGGAAAGTGGATCTGGTTTTTCCAAAATTGAGCAAAACATAAGCTTAAAATGAAGAATTTGTAAGGAATTAGAATTTATATCGGTAACTTATAGGAATTCCCAGTGTGCTGGGTAATTTTCCAGTCAAAAGAATGAAATCGCTGAGGAGGTCCTTGACTAAAACTAGCTTGAGGATTTTTCATGTAGCAATCCTGGAAAATGGGGGTGGGGTATTCAACTCACGTTGCATAGGGGGCCGCTACGCTTACAAAGCTTCTCAGGATTAGCTGAGGAAATAGTAACAAACAACAGCAATAATGGACCTCATCCCTAAGACAATAGAAGACTGTCATTCCCAGAACTACAATTCTTTTTTACCTGTGCCTTGGATCAAGATGAACGTTCTGTTTTTACTCTGCCTGTGCCATACCTTGGATCAAGATGAACATTCTGTTTTTATTCTGAAAGACCCCGCCCCCTCCCTGTGGATGAGCAGATTCCTACCACCTCACTTTCCTTTCTCAGGACCCTTTGAAAAAAGTTTGCTATCCCTTTCCCACCCTCATTTTTTGTCAGTCCCTTTGAAAACAGACTACAACTAGTTACCTGCTGATAAGGGAATTGGAATAAAAGTGAAATGCTTTGGCTGATTCCGAAACAGGAATTCTGCTAATTGCAGACTTCCAGCTTGCTATGCATCCTTGGACATTTGAAATAATAACCTTTACCAACTTACAAACATGGTAGCCATTGCTCTTTCACGTTATCCTGGAACCAGCCAGAGCTCTTGATCCTTGGCATTTGCAAAAAGGATCACTACTCTGGGAACAAGATTGACAAAAGAGCTGCATGGAATCAAAGATCCAATGAAATTAGAGGTGCATGAATGTTTTATTATTACAGACAGCCGTTGGACCCTTTTAGTATCCTCAATAGCAAGATCAGTCTGTAATACTGGAAGACTATCTCAGTGAAATGTCTGTGATTTATTTTTGTCCATATTGTCAGAGTGTCCTTAATATCACAACGACGTTAAACATGGACAACAGGACTAATAACACATGCACAGTACAAATGACTTAATTAAATTATCCTCTCAAGACACCTAATCCATTGGCTCTCCACATTGTGACAGTATCTGGAGTGGATCTTGGGGTGGATCACCAAATCACTAAGCTAATTTCAAAATGATGACTGCAACAGAAGAGTTGTAAGCAGCAAGTTGATGGCTGTGTAAAATGGCTTGGAGTTCCAACATAGTCAGGCATACTAACAATTTTTAACAAATAAATAAAATGATAATATTGCATTCCTGTTAACAGGCATCAGTGTGCTACAGTGATTGTAGGTCGAAAGTTTGACAGGCTTAGAAAGGTAAGTTTTTCACTTTGCAAACGTTATTTGCATAATTTTAAATACTGATTTCCAAGTTACTGAGATGGTAGTTAAGAAGTTACACTGAGATCGTAACTATGGTCATGAAAGTCTCCATTGATGTTGTATGACCACCTGTGTGGATCCTGACCTTTTAATGATCATAGACTACCTTGACACAGACTGTTACTTGTGAGGGGGAGGGATCTTCCAAGTTTTCTAAAAAAAGGTACTGAGATCCTCATGCATCACTGATATACTCAACACCCATGTAGGTGCATGCCGGGTCTGCACAATCTGTGAGCCAATGAACCATGCGAGCCATGAGAAAAAAAAGAGTTTTATGAAATTTTAAATGCATGAAAAAATAATGTTTCCTGCTTAGTTCTGAGGTTTTGCTGATGGAATATTTGCAGAGTTACACAGTATTGATTGACTTTCACCGATTAGGGTTAAGCACTCAGTTTACTGACTAGGGTTAAGCACTTGCTTTACGGATTAGGGTTAAGCACTGTTTAAGGTTAAAAACGTTTTTAACAGATGAGTGTTAAGCCCTCTTGGGTGTTAAACAATGGCTACCTTCCATTTTTTTTTCATATTTACTGCTTTTTCAATTTCTTTAGCATGGCTCACTGGCTCACACTGTGTCCTAACTCATGCATGCTCCTTGTACCTCTTGTGACTTAAATTTTGTAATTTATACCTTTTATTACCTGTGCAGGCGGGAGGGATCTTTCAAACCATACTCAAATGAGCATGATTGAGTTAGTAGAACAGGCCAGAGTAAAATGCCAAAAAAATGTTACGTTGACCTGAAAACTCTACTGAAAAGTTTAATGTTGTTCTACTACCCACCAGCACTTTAAATTCCTCCTCAGGGTTTCCTCTAGCTAAATGCTTAATCAACAAAAAGGGTGGGAAGGAAAACAGATAGGGAGAGAAACTAAAAGGTATAGGAAGAAAAACCGATATCACCCTGAAACCCAAAAATTTCTTTTAATTTTGCCCTCTGATTAGCAAATAATTTATTATTCATCATAATTTTCCTGTTATATTGTCATTTTAGGCTGCCAAGAAGCTGGAGGATCTGACAGGACAGAAATGTGTCCCAATAAAAGTTGATGTTAGAAAGGTAATTTGTCTCCTTTAAATCAGTGTTATTATGATATTGGCTATGAAACACAAGTTTTTTTTGAACATCCTATACTGGGATATACATGTATTGGTGCATGCACAAAGTGAAGGACCCTTTTTTTGTCAGGTCAATGAAATAGAGAAAATTATACGAGTCATTTATTACAGCTGGCACAGCTGAGTGAGCATTAACTATATCTGTGCTAGTTTGTTAAATGCTAGGTAAATGAAGTTGAAGCAGCTGTGGACAAAGCTCTGGAACTGTTCTCACGAATAGACATCTTGGTCAATGGTGAGAGTGTGAATATTTTCACATATTTTTCCATTGTATTCAGTTGCCGTCTTTTTATAGTTAATAAAATTATTGAAATTCTATTAAATTTAAATCGCTGCACTTTGTTCATTTGCTTTAAATAAATGCATATTGATTCTAAGGTATCCCCTGTTTTTTGTGCAAAACTCTCCTAGACAGGTTCTTTTTTTAGTTGTGTTCGTCTCATCAGCTTTATAGTAGTGTCTGCTAAAATGATTCGTTTAAAGATACGTTGGATAAAGTTTCTTAAAAGGTCATGAGAGGAGATTGGCATTTCAGCTCAAGTATGGTTTGAAGCTTTCAACGGTCCATGCTTGGCTGAATTCAAACAATGGCCTTCTGGTCAGATGATGAATTTGGTCCCCATATTTCGGTCACTAAGGCTTGGGGCTCGCCATGCATATAAATGTGTTTATCCAGAAAAATTTAAGTTTGGTCATTATTAGAGTAGCTTTCACGAAAGTGTATGGATTTCTGCACTATTTATTAAGGCTGATTTGCACAAGCATAAAACAAAATGTTGATATGTCCAACAGTCTATATGTGAGCCTCCCGAATGAAAAGGTTTCCTTCTTTGTGCACCCCTTTTCAGAACTATATTCAGGGACAAAAAATTTCCAGACGTGCTTACATCTAGAAAAAGCACCAACTTCTTACTCCTGGTGGAAGAATTTGAGCTAATACAGCAGCGTAACTACCACATAATTTTTCAAAAAAAATCAGAAAATAGAATAAGCTCAAACCAATGCAAGAACATAAATGACTATATGAAGGACTTTCTCCCCAGTATCTCTGATTGTAGAACTCTGTATAGGCTTGGGAACTTGGGAATTTTTCAGTATGTCATCTGAAGTCTTTGGATACCCTCAGGTGTGATTGGGTGACGTCTACAAAAAATCCAATAGAACTGTCAGTGAAAATAAAAATCTAATGCCTTAATGCCCCCTAAGAGCCCTGTGTACATACAGGTGTTTTAAAACTGGTTTGAGTCAAGTTGTCATGTCTAGTGCTTGTGCTATCCTGGTTTATACATAGAACATTTGACTATGCAAGCATATGTCCAAGGCACCTCAGAAATAAGAAATAAATCAAATGTACTTTCAGTGCTTTATGTATCTCAAGCAAATGTGAGATCAAACTAAAAGAGCGTGTTACCATAACTTTTATTTCACAGTTGTAGAGAAAAAAACTCATGATTACTTTGGATTTTTTTCCTTTCAGGAGCAGCAGGAAATTTCCTTTGTCCAGCAAGCAAGCTCTCTTATAATGGATTGAAAACAGGTACCTAAGTTAAGTACACGTAGATTCAAGGCAAGTAAAAAAGGTTTGCAATCTCCTCATTAGCGAGTGTAGTGTCCTCATTAGAGAGAGTCTGTAATAGAGGGAGTTTATATCAGTCAAACATCTGCAATTCATTTTTGCCTGCGTTCTAGCTGCTGTCCATATTATCAGGGTGTCCACAATGCAAGAGTTGACTGTACATACATTTTGCTACCAATAACATTTATTCTTCTCTGCTACTCAATTAACTAGCATCCTGTGGTATTTTTTTTGGAAATTTAGCTCTTATTAACCGAGCTAGGTCGATTTGTATGGGAGAATCTTGACCGAGGTCATACGGTTGAACGTCCATAAAGTCCTGAAATAATATGCAGAAAAGAAAGGAAAATTACACCTCTATTAAGCAGCGACCTCCATCAAGTGACTGCTGCCACCTTTTTGGTCATCCCTGACTGAACAAGAGTTTTTTTATTGCTGTCCTCTCCTCTTAATGGTCATCAAATTCTAGATACACTTAGTTTGGCTTTGTTTTGGAATATATATCAATAACAATTATAAAGTCTTGTTTCTGATGAAAATTGTACTAAAATAATAATTATTATTATATATTATATTTGATGAGCCTCTATTGAGTGGCCAACCTCCATTAAGCAGTGACTTGCCGCTACCCAGAGAGTGGCCTGCACCTAATGGAGTTTCAATTGCAGTAGTCTGTTAACAAATTAAGGTTCTCCCAGTGTTTTTGGTGACTGGTGCAATTTTGTTCTTTCCTTGCAGTTATTGATATAGACACGCTTGGAACATTCAATGTGAGCAAAACGGTTTATAACAAATTCTTCAAGGTATTAATGATTAAATGGATTATTAATTTAAAAGATTATTTCTCTGCTCAAGATTATTCAGAAAGTTGTAGGGTGTGTTCTGTTGGTATGATCTGGGTTAGGATCAGTAATTCAAGGTGAATCATACCACATCAAAGGAACCATCGAATCCTCCCTGGTAAAGGATTCATTGGTTCATTTGATGTACCAGTGATCTCAGATCACTGATCCTGATCCGGATCATCCCAAAGGAAGTTACGTACCTATACACAGTTTCTTGTATTTTTTATGTGTACAGAAGAATGGTGGTGGAAGCATCATCAACATTACTGCTACGCTTCAGTACAATGGAACTCCTTTCCAGGTGTGTGGTTGAATTTTTTGTGGTAGTAGTAGTTACTGATTTATTTTTTCAGCACAATGATTATGTGGGAAATCAAGCAGACTTAAGTAATATATTATATTATTTTACTGGAAAACTATTTTCACTGCAGAATAGCACTTAACAGTCACAATCCAGTCTTTATGCCTTTTATAATTCATTTTTTTTAGTTGAATTAAAGTTGCACAGTTCAAGGCTCTTTGATTTGCACTTTTTTCTGTCGTTATCAGCTATTGTAGGCTTTTCTAGCCATTTTAGGCTCTTAATTAAGTTATCCAAGTATCAAGTTCTTCAGTCGACTGCAAAACTGTTACTCTTTTAAAAAACGTTATAGAAAATAACTCCCAAAGGTTATAGTGTCCATTGTAAAAGCATAAATTCCCACAGAGCATTTGAGGGTAATATAAACAACTACTTTTTATCGCATCTCCCTAATCTCAGTCAATAATTTCTCACTTTCTACAGTCCTTTTGTTCAAAGGTCATGCTCATTCTTCAGGTTAATTCAGTGATATAGGGAGCTTAAACAAGTATCAACAATGGCGACGACGGTAGTGAAAACGTCACTAAACAAAATGAATTTGCCTTCTTTCAAACTTTAGCGCGTCTATTTGGACCTGCTCAATATGTCAAATGTAGGCGAATTTTCGTGCAGTTGAATTGTTAAGGACTTTATATCCAGGCTCAAAAAGAGAAAGGAAAATTGATCATCGCATGTCCACGTCCTCCAAAAAACGTCGCATGAGAAGGTTTCACGTCGTAGTCGTGCAGTAATCGTCAAAGAAATGTACAGAATAGATTGATGCACGTGCAGAGCTGTGATTTTGCTGAAAATAACTATTTTTTTGGCGTTGTCATTGTCTTGTCGTGGTGGTGGTTGCTTAATCTCCCTATTACTAGTGGCAGATCCAGGGGGGCTGCCTCCCCCCCGCTATCCAAAGGACTGGATCCACCACTCATTACTGTATCAAGTCAAGTTGTTCAGGGTCCAAATTAAGAAACGTTTTGTTTTACAACACTAGACCATTTTTAAAAACAATTGTATATAAGACGAATGTAAATGTATAGTATAGGAAGTCTCACTTGACTTGTTGTTTTAAAAGTTTGATTCTTCCTTTAGTGTCATGCTGGAAGTGCTAAAGCAGCAATTGGTAAGTAAATATACAACTATATTAAATTTGTAACCGGCCATTGTGGCAGTGAAGCTAATAAAAATATAACGAAAGTAATTGAACACCCCATTTCCCTGCCAGTTATCATTTTCGTATCTCCTCTCCTGTGTCTCACATCAGTGCATTTTGGCTTGCTCTTACCGGTTGTTTCGCTGCATATCAAAGTCATATCGCTACAAGTCGACGCTTCGCTGCGTAACGCGGCAGCCTTCCTTCTCGCGTCAGTTGAGAAAATTAGCAAATAACTTTGGCTTTAGCGTTGTTGTTTAAAATATATATTAACCTTAAGATTGTATTAGCGTGACTTATATTAAACTTAATGGCACTTTAAGAGCCGTTTGTTCGTTAACTTAATGCATGACAAGTTGGAGACTACAGGAATTCCCTACACGAGTGCAACTGAGATCTTCATTCTATGGTACCACGGAGATTTAAGTGGTCTACTTGTACTACCATCCCCACCCCTAGTTAGTATTATCCCTCCGTGTCGATACCTCTTGTATTGGATTTGTTCCAACTAACTTGCGGAAACTAACCTGATGAGCTCTGCCTGGTGACTAGGGCTTCACAGTGGCGAAACGACCGGACACTAACTATGGGTTTACGGTCAAGTCGCTCGAAATCAGAGTTATGTCGCCCGAAATTTGTAGTCAAGTCGCCTGAAATGCTGAGTTATGTGGCTCGAAATTTTATCACGCTCACTCATTTTCCTTTAACTCTCATCCTTTTTTCGTGCAACTTGACAGGTTACCTAGCACTGCCCTTCTCAGAGCTTCTCTCCCTCTACACTCAGTTTCCTCTAACTCCCATCCTTTTTTCGTCTTTACCACTTTGGAAATATAATAATTCATCTTTATTTTGTGGTTTATTTTTGACCACCAGAGGGTATGATGAGACACCTTGCAGTTGAGTGGGGACCAGATGGTGTTCGAGTGAATTGTATATCACCAGGAGCTGTGACAGACACTGAGGGGTTTCGTAAACTTGGTTAGTTTCATTTATCTACTTCGAATGGGAAAAAATAAAGCTTTTCCTCCCCCACCCCTACTAAGAAATGTTGTGCCGCTGTTCAAGTTAGCTGTAGGAAACATCAAACACCCCGACTTTGAAAAGGAGTGTTAGGCAAGGAGCCCAGACTGTTGTGTTCTCTTAAGTATATTAATCTATTTGACGACAGTTTCTGAACAATTTTGACTGAAATAAGTGACTGAAATGTCCACATGAATTGGCTGTCAACAATTCGATAACTGTGCCGGACTAGTCAAGGAATTCATTGGAATTATTCTTGCTTCTGGAAAGGATGGTCTAAAAGTTTCCCCTCAGCCAAACTGAAAAACTTTTCTAATGCGTTTCTATTTCTCTAGTTGTTTATAGTTGACACTATAGTTTACACTCGCTTGTGCTTTAAAGCGGCCTCCCTCTTAATGGACACCTCTATAAGACGGACATGTCCCTAAGACGGACTCTAGGTGCCGTTCCCAAAGGTGTCTGTCTTAGAAAGACTTGACTGTATTGTAAAGTACCGGTAACTAAAAATAGCAGTACAGGGGCATAGCTAGGATTTTTCAAAGGAGGGGGGGGGGGAAGGGGGTCACACTGTGTCACACCCAGGGTACTTACCAGATTGGTATGTCGACATCTATGCCCTGTTTTACTAAAAGTTACATTTTTTCGGATGAGCAGTGAGCGTGGGGGGAGGGGCAAGCCTACAAACCTACAAAATAGCTGCATAGATGAAATCCACGTAACATAAACTACTCTATACTCTCTATCTCGCGTTTTCGGCAGCTGCGACGGGGTTGTTCAAAGCGGGGTTAAGATAACCCAGGGTTTGTGTGAAATTAAAAAGCAAATTTAGTTTAATTCCTTTGGTCTGCAATTTGGTGCTTGGATGCTCTAAAAAGAACCGGGCAATTATCCGAGGAAATGCTTTTACACAAAAGAAAAAGGAACCGGATTAAAATTTGACCCCGGGTTGGCGCTAACTGATCTTCGAACAACTGGGCCCTGAATCATAGGGACATAAAATAACTATCACACAAAGGGGGAGGGGGGATCACAGGCACCTCAGGACCCCCCTAGCTACGCCTCTGCAGTAAACTTTCTTTAAGGTCTCGGTAAAGGAAAACGAGGTGCCCACAGAAAAAAATTCTAGTCACGCGAGTATTTTCGCTACAAAGGCAAGTTATATATCAAATTAAAGCTAAAAGACTAAATTACCTTATAAAAGATTTTATTTCATCGAATTTCAAAAGGCGCTTAAGTTTTTTGCTCTCGAATTCAGAGGTATCGAGTTTACTGCTGAAGCTCCAGCCCTTTCGCGTTGTTAAATATTCACTTCCTTTTTATTGCATCTGATTGACAGATAAAAGACCTAAAAAAGGGTGTGAGGAATTTTCCGATTTCCCTTTGTAACTCATTTTATGTTAGTTTCTTTGCGTAAATCGCGCTCGAGATTCGACTTTTTAGTTTGAAATGCAATAATTCCGCTAATACGAGACATATGCAAATTTCCTCACACCCTTTTTTAGGTCTTTTATCTGTCAATCAGATGCAATAAAAAGGAAGTGAATATTTAACAACGCGAAAGGGCTGGAGCTTCAGCAGTAAACTCGATACCTCTGAGTTCGAGAGCAAAAATCTTAAGCGCCTTTTGAAATTCGATGAAATAAAATCTTTTATAAGGTAATTTAGTCTTTTAGCTTTAATTTGATATATAACTTGCCTTTGTAGCGAAAATACTCGCGCGACTAGAATTTTTTTCTGTGGGCACCTCGTTTTCCTTTACCGAGACCTTAAGTCGTCGCGCATTTTCGTGACATTGTCACTGAAGGAAGTCGACTTTTAGAGGGGCCTAGCCACAAGTACAGAAAACTGGTTAGAAAGTTTACTTTTTAAAGCAATACGCACGGAGGTATAGGTCCTCGTCGGCATAATAACCTAGTGGTTTTACACCTGTATAGTAAAAACCCGCAACTAACAACCTGGTTTTTAAGAACCTGTAAGGCTAAAATTTGCCAGTTAGGCGCCCTCAATACGAGAACCTGTTTAGCTTAAAACCGACTAAAATTTGTAACGAGTCCTTATTTTCTAAAAATCTATAGAAAAAATTCTGTACACTTAGGCAAATAAGATAAGTCAGCATTCCGAATGTTGTTTGGAGACATAGGTCCCTTTTCACTCTAATTACTATGTAATGTATACAGGTTTTATATAAGGAATGAGCTGAATATCGCTAAATACTCTAAGTTACACTACATTTTCTTTCTCCAGAAAATAAGGACCTTTTTAAGAATTTAAGTAGCCTAAAGTTGTGCTAATTACCATTTCTGTAAGAACCTGTTTTGGCTAACTTGAGAAAATGCAGGTTCTTAGTTGAGGGTTTTTACTGTATGAGCTTGAAATTTTCCTGGCTTCTTGTCGGGTAGGTCACCAAAATGCATGACTCCGAGATTCCGAGGGAAAATACAATACCGTACAGAGACAAGACTAAAAAGGTTAAAAGTTAATTTTAGAAGTTGTGTAGGAGTTGTCTGTACAAAATTGCGTTTATTTTAACAGGGGGTAGGCATATTCCACCAAACTATGAAGAAAATGTACCTTTACAAAGACTTGGCTCTCGCCGGGATGTGGCAGACGCTGCACTGTTTCTAGCCAGCGGTGCTTCAGCTTACGTCACATCTAATACCTTAATAGTGGATGGCGGCAGCTGGATGACAGTTCCTGTATCTTTGAAAACGATGAAGTCGATGAAGGCGATCAGCAAGCTGTGAATCCGCAACCATAAGACTGAATAACGAAACCGAAACACTATGATGTATTATTTGTTTGAAGTAAAGATAGAGGGTGAATTTTCAGCTAAGTGTATGGATGTGAAAGATAAGATAATCAGCTTGTCACGAGGGTGGTAAAGTCCCCGACAGTTTTCCGACCTATGACCTCCAGAACGTTAGGCGGGCGCCCAACCTATCCACTGAGCTATGTAGGTGGAGAGTAAGGCCATTTACTAAGTTCATATTTTACACGCGTCCTGTATACTGTAAGGATCAACAATTCCGGTGGGGTACTGTATCCTATGCACACTCCTCCCAAAAAGAACAAGACCTCCATAAAGGCCGATTGAGACGGCACGATATTTGCTTACGACTATCGTGTGCGACTAGCATGCGCCACGATTTGACGACAGATCGTGTCGTGTAAATTAGACCCACGACATTAGTACGACACATTGTAGATGTCGTAAGTGTAAATTGTGCACGTGTGGATAGTCGAAGGTCATGACGTATGCTAGTCACGCACGATAGTCGTAAGCAAAAATCGTACCGTCTAAATGAGGCTCCATTGGTCTGCCGTACGTGACAATTTGTTTGTAACTTCTACCAGTGAACAAAAATAGGCAAGTTAGCCTTTGGAAAAACGGAACGATTGGCATTCTATCTGCCCCCGAAAAGATATCGCAACAGTATAATGTGTTTAGTTTGATCTAGCCTCGTTCTACGCTTTTAAAACATAACAGGGTCAACTTTTCATAGCTTTTGGCGTAGAAAATTAAATTTAAGTTTTGTTTCTGTTTGGTATTGCATTGAAAATCCATTCTGACTATCCAGATGAATGTTTCTATTGACAGGGCGATCTACAAATGACACGTCCTTTCTTGTACCGAGTGACTTTTGGAAGAAAGCACTTATTAAATGGACCATTTTGAAGGAGGCATTGAAAAAAGCGCCATACGATAGCTTCAGAGACATCTTCATTTAATGGATACAGTCGACTCCCTCTTTGACTCTCTATAAGACGGACATCTCTCTAAAACGGACACTAACTGCCGGTCCTACAGGTGTCTGTCTTAGAGAGAGTTGACTTTACACACACCGACACTCAGGAAGATTTGCAAAGTTAAGGGGCGCTTTATAGTATAATGTGCTTAAAGAAGAAACACGAATAATCGCTGTTTATCCATCCGCACCAGTTGAACCGTACTTCGATTATTGTAGCCTTGTGTGGGGTAATAGAGAACTTTAGCAACGACGACGGCGACGTACGAGGGTCTAGAACCCCTTTTCAAAAGAATGCTGACTTTTTAGATCATTCTATTGTTAACGCAAGGAATGTGAACATTTTTTATTAATTCGTTTTAGTATGATTTTTAGCGGAGCGTGGCGCGTGGGCGGAGCCCCATAGCTAAGGAAATGTGGTAATCTACCCATCCGAGAAAATTTGGTAATCACGTGACCGTACAGCGAGCGAGCGACCGTCCGTCCACACCACAGGCATACCAATGTGAAATAACTCAATCGACAGGTATGGCAACCCAAATGCAACTCAAGGTTTTATTTGGAAGGAAATCACATGGCCGCCCAGACTTTTAGAAAAAACAACAACAAAGTCCTGTCTTTTTCGGCGTTTTTTTATGTTTACAGTAACGTGGATAACAGAGAAAGAGCTAGAGCGAGTTATTGAAAACAAAGGAGACGAATTTCGTAGGAAGAAAAACATGGAAATTCAAAGCGGCGCTGAGAAAATGAGAAATGCTAGCGGCCAGCAAGGTGAAAATGAGCGGCAGTGAAAAATAAAAGCGAACATGAACACAGGAAACAAATTATTGGGTAAGCACATACGACAATTCCTCCAGAAAAATCATGTGTAACTAGGAAGTTCGACGTTTTAGTCGTACAGAACAGCGTTGTAGTCGTGCAAAACAACGGGAAGGGAAAGACAAAAAAGCGTGCTGCACGTGCAAATTTGTTTTTTGCTAATTGGAAGAAAACGTGTGCTGCACGTGCAAATTTGTTTTTTTGCTAATTAGATCTATTAGTCTTGAAGCCATTTTCATTGTCGTCCCCGTGTAGCATTACACGATTTAATTTTTTTTGTCTGCACGTATTATTAACCAGAGCTTCGCTTTTAGTCCTGGCTAAATCTATATATTAGAATAGTTTTGGTAGACAGTATTTTTATTAGTTAGTTATAGTTTTTAGTAGACCTTGTATTTTTATTTAGGATATCTCCTTTAATACTGTAAAGTTTTTATCACTGTAATGACAGTAAAAGCTATTTTATTAATGTTATAAAAGAAATGACTGAAAATACGCAGTATAAATGTACCAGAAGTACACAGGTGAGGAGGGAACAGTAAACGCCTTCGTATAAGAAGATACGAAAGCAGCGCGATAGATGCTGGCCTAACATTATTTTTGTGCCCAATCCCCGACAAACATTTGAATAAGTCGTGGAACTGGTTTTTTCTAAAGAATGGCATCCGAGGGGTTCTCTTGCCCGTTCTTGAAAACTATCGTCACCATTATTTCTGACCCAACTGACCACCCCCGGGACTCCGAGGATGGTTAAAACTAAGAACCAGCTCAAACTTAGCATTTCTTATGTCCCGAATCTAAGGCAAATGAGCAAGGGCAAAAGATTTTCCTCATGAGCACTAAAATTCAGCACATGTGGAATATGGCATTTGAGCCGGGCCCTAGACTTAAAATAATAGCTATCTCAAATTGTTTCTTGCAAACTATAGTTGATTTACACTGATTTTAAAGCTTTTTTAGATAACAAAAATTTTACTGCTTCAAAATTTTTAAATTCTGTTGCTATAGTCGACGGAGTTTTGCCACTAAGGTCTTTTGAATCAATTTGAAGACCAAGTGATAACAGCTCGTTGATAATGGATATATTTCCACCTTGTGCAGCACAGTGGAGCAGGCTGGATCCATCCTTATCTTTCAAAAAAGGATCAGCACCGTTTTGTATCAACATCTGAAAAGCTCTTTGTTGAGGCCACTCAGCAGCATACATTAGAGGAGTGGAAGAGCTATAAGAACTCCTTGAGTCAACATCAAGACCAAGGGATAACAGCTTATCAATAATGGATGTATTTCCACCGTTTGCAGCATGGTGGAGCAGACAGCTACCATCGTTGTCTTTCAAGAATGGATCAGCGCCATTCTGTATCAACGTCTCAAAAGCACTTTGGTTGCCATCTGCAGCTGCATGCATCAGAGGCGTTTCACCTGGTAAGCTTCTTGAGTCAATGTCAAGACCAAGAGATAACAGCTTGTTTATAATGGTCACATCTCCTCCTTGTGCCGCAGAGTGGAGCAGACTGTAATGAAAAACGTCTTTCAAAGATGGATCTGCACCATTTTGTATCAGCATTTCAAAAGCATTTTGTTTACCATCAGCAGCTGCACACATTAGTGGTGTGCGGTTAAAACTACCACTCCTAGAATCAATGTCAAGACCAAGTGACGACAGCTTGTTGATAATGGATGTATTTCCACCCTGGACAGCACAGTGGAGCAGACTCAACTCTTTGTCAGCTTTTAAAGAAGGATCAGCACCGTTTTCTATCAACACCTGAAAAGCACTTTGTTTGTCAAAAGCAGCTGCGACCATCAGCGGAGTGGCAGCTTGTGTGCCCCTTGAATCAACGTCAAGACCAAGTGATAACAGGTTGTTGATAATGGATGGATTTCCTCCCTGGACAGCACATTGGAGCGGACTCAACCCGTTGTCAGCTTTTAAAGAAGGATCAGCACCGTTTTGTATCAACATCTGTAAAGCACTTTGTTTGTCACAAAAAGCTGCCGTCATCAGTGGAGTGACGCCAGCATTGGTCCTTGAATCAATGTCAATACCAAGTGATAACAGGTTGTTGATAATAGATGTACTACCACCTTTTGCAGCATAGTGGAGCGGACTCAACCCATCGTTGTCTTTCAATGATGGATCAGCACCGTTCTGTAACAACATCTGAAAAGCACTTGGTTCGTCATAAACAGCTGCCATCATTAGTGGAGTTAGACCTTCCCTGTTCCTTGAATCTACGAGGCATCCTTGTGACACCAATAACTCAATGATTTCAGTTTCTCCGTTTTCTGCAGCGGCATGTAACACACCAACGTGTTGATCATCATATACGGCTTTGAAATCACTGTGCATGTTCTCTATATGAACTGGAACAGACTTCTCATGAATGGATGAGACACCTTTCCCTGAGAAGACAATTATTTTGGAATATGAATGTCAGGAAGAAACAGAATGCATCTTTAAAAATGGGAAATGGAGAATTGGAAAAAGAAAACAATGATCATTATTTACGCGCAATAAAACAATGATGTGGTTGATTGTTACCTATTTTTAAGGGATGGTCTTATATTAGCAGAGGAAGATTTTTGGAAACTGCCAGCCTACCCCTCCCCTTACCCCTTTGGTTAAGTCCGTCGGGTTTAGGCTATGATGAATTTTTTTTGTTTTTTGATTTGGGGCTTCTTTTTTCATTTTATTGCCTTTGGTTTAAGTCCGTCGGGTTCAGGCTATGATGGATTTTTTTTGTTTTTTGACTTGGAGCTTCTTCTTCCATTTTATTGCCTTTGGTTTAAGTCCGTCGGGCTTAGGCTATGATGGATTTTTTTTGTTTTTTGATTTGGGGCTTCTTTTTCCATTTTATTGCCTTTGGTTTAAGTCCGTCGGGTTTAGGCTATGATGGATGTTTTTTGTTTTTTGATTTGGGGCTTCTTTTTCCATTTTATTACCTTTGGTTTAAGTCCGTCGGGTTTAGGCTATGATAGATTTTTTTTTGTTTTTTTAATTGGAGCTTCTTTTTCCATTTTATTGCCTTTGGTTTAAGTCCGTCGGGTTCAGGCTATGATTCATTATTTTTGTTTTTTGATTTGGAGCTTCTTTTTCCATTTTAACACTTAACACTTCTCATTTAGGGCGAAATTTTGGGTTGTTTGGAAAGGGGTGGGTGGGAGGTTGGTAGAATCTTCTACTGATTTAAAATCTGGTCACCTTCCATGTTTTTTCCCCAAGGAGACAAAGTTGTAAAAATAGTCGTAATCTCTAAAACGAATCTTATTCTGGGCATGAAAATAATATGCATTTAAGTGTAATCTTGTGGCTTTTTTTACTGGATACTACGCAATAACCCTCTATCATGAAAATGAAGAGCCAATAACATGAAACATATTTTACCTTCATCACTTTCAGCACAGCAGTTGTCACTCATCATCCTCAAAATGATCTCTTTAAAATTCTCACACTGGGTGTCCCAAGGGAATGTCTTTTTGTAGCTTTCTCTGAGATTAATAGACGTTTTAAGTCTCTCTTTCAACTTCATCTCAGAAAGAGTTCTGATTCTTTGGGACCACTCTTCCGGATCTTCTGATTTAATGATAACAGACTTTCCACCGTCAACTTGCTCCAACGCTTTAGCTATTCCAGATTCACTGGTAAGAAGAACAGGGACATCAGCAGAAATGGCTTCCAGAGCAATCAGACCAAAGCCTTCGGTACGAGAAGGCATAGCAACCAAGTCTGCTTCATAGAACATTTTTTTCACTTCATCTTGATTGCAGAAACCACGAACTGTTAACTGCCTCCTGGTTATTCTTGTATTTTGTAGAAACCAGTCCATTATATTTCTATGTTGGCCTTCAGGTGAACCAACAAATGTCATCTTATACTTCTCCCCAAGAGAACCTAATGCATTGGCAATAATATCAAAGCCCTTGAGTGACAGATCTTCATAAGATCCTCTCCCAAAGACAAAGACACTGAACTCGTCAGGACTATGTGAAATATTGGCAAGTATTTGATCTGAAAGGTTGACGAATTTATCCAAAATTCCAGGAGTGATGATGTGAACTTTCGTGAATGGGAGACATCTGCTGTACTTTTGCTGGAGTTGTGAACCAACAGCGACAACGGTGTTTGCAGCCTCGCAAAGGCTGATTTCCTGTTTATGTTTCTTCTCATTCTCCTCCACTGCATCTGTTTGAGTATTAGTATCAGTTTGTTTGTACTTTCCAAGGTCTTCGCAAAATACATGCACAAACTGTATCCATTTGCACTTGGTATTTTGTACAATGCAATAAGCAGGGGTGCCAAACTTTCGTCCATGGCCGATAACAACATCAGGATGTGGGAGCTCCGAAGGAACAAGTCTCAGCCATTCCAGACGGTCATGAGTTCCCGGCACACTTTTTGCTGTTATTAAATTCACGCCATTTTTCCCAGCATCTTCTCTGTCTGATTCACTGCTCTGAGAGACGGAACAGTGAATAAGAAAGTCATCCCTTGATGCTTTAGCAAGATTGATTGCAAATTCTCTGTTGAAAGTTGACAAACCGCCCTTACTGGAGATCCACTCATCACAAACAAACAAGATGTTAACAAGCTTTGACCTTTTTCTATCTGTTGACTCCGATGTGCTTGGTAAATTAGGACAATCTTCTTGAAATGCTCTCTTCATGACCAACAACCGTCTGAAAAAGTGAGGTTTGCGAACTTCTGTTTTTAACACTTACACAATATCTCAATCTTTTGTCATAATACATGCGTCATTGACCAATTGATATTGCGCGACTACTTCTTTTTATGCGTCATTATGGGCAGAGCCCAATATCCAGCCATTTTGACCGAACAAGCTTAGTCAGAAATGGCCATATATACGGCCAAAAAGGGCACTTTTTTGCGGGACCAAAGCAGAAATTCTGAGCGGGCAAGATGAGCCCATATTCATTGCCCACCAGGGTGACCAATCAGAAGATTGTAGTCACATTATCTTGTCCGCTCGCAGATACAGCTATATAATAAATACGCGTACTTAGAACCAGTATTTTGAGCACATTCTGTTTGGCCTGATAGAGATCATAAAACCCCCCCACGAGCCTCAAAAGATGTTTTTGGACGAAATTTCAAGGAGCGAATGACGGAGGTAAGATAACGTTAGTGTTATATGGGGTTCTAATCGCAAAGAGGGGACTAAAACATTTCCCTTACAGTTACGGAGGGTATTGGTGCTGATAGATGATTACTCTAAAAAGCAGTGGAAAAACCTACTCAACAGCAGTAATAAGACAATAATTTGTCGGACGAAGAATGCCTTATTTCTCATGACAGTTTTTGAATGCTTTTCAACCGCCTTCTCGAGCAACTCATCGGTAAATCCGGGGACTTTTAGGGTCTTTCAAGTGGAAAATTTGCAGGAGCAATGGAAAAGAAGCCCTCTTTTCCTGGTTGGACTATCCCAAAGGGAAATTCGTGTTCCAGAATTCTTCAAATCAAGAGTGAATTCAAATTCCATTTTTTAATCCAGTCTGCTAAGGCCTGTGCGGCCTGTTGTGTAACTGGTACTGATTTGTGAAATTCTCGAGCAAAATTTACCAGTCCTGAGTTTTGCTGACCATTTGCCTCTAATCCTAGGCACAAAGAATGCGACAACCACACACATATATATAACGAAATCATCTTTATTGTTTGTCGGAACAAGCAAAGCTGCATCAAGGGGGGAGGCAAGGCCGAGGCCGTTCCCTCCCCTCCCCCGATGCAGCCAGCCCAAACCGCCAGACAACAAATAACGTAAAAAAGAAAAAAAGTGAAATGTCAGAGGAGGAATTATGGAGACAGTTAAACAATGTTCTGCTCGATTAAATAGGCCATGGAGATGCACCGCTCTAAAGGTATCGCGATGTAGAGAGGGAGAGCATCGGAAGACCAGTCCCCTTGTGGACTGATTAGCTCAACGGGGGCGCCACAAAGAAAAGCGTATGTAGCCCCTCCACGACAAAAACTGTGGCCAGAGTATTGTGTGGGCTTCAGGCCGGCGGAACAGAGAGAACGGCGTGATTTGGGGGTGAAGACTGTGTGCGTTATTGGGCTTGTACGAGCTCCCTTAGAGTACAGAAAGGCAGGCGGGGAGGGTGGGGCGGGAAACAGACCGACATGGCGCTCATAACCAGTGCAGGTGCATAGCAGATGACCAGGCGGAAGGCGAACAATAGGGGTGAGAAGTTTACGTTCCTTGAACTGAATGGTCTTGAACCAACGAACACAGATGGCCAAACCCCAAGGGCCAACTAGAATGTCGTGGCATGACCCGGACAGAGAAATTATTCTTGATGGGCTTCGAAATGGTTTCAACCTTATTTCAGAATCTGACCCCTCTTGTGTTGACAGCTACGATAATGATAATTATGCTAGTGCTACGTGTCTCTGTCCGGGTCATGCAAAAGTTCGTTTTCCTAAGCATGAAATTTTAAAGGGCAATCCTCAAGCGGGGATAAGTTAGCAAAAGAGGAGTCTTCAAGCGGAAAAGAATCATGTTCACTAACTGTGCATGTAGGGAGTCACTTGTCTGATTTTTTGCTAGAGCTAGCGACGCTAGTGCAAACTTTGCCTGTTTGGGTTGTGAAAAATGAATACAAAACGTGCCTGAACCGACAAGACTGTCTGTTGGGGCAACCGTAAGGACTAAAATTCCAACGGAAGCAAAACTCCTGGTTCGTAGAAATGCAACCATCTTTAGCAAGAGAGGAGGAAGATGGCGTCGACTGCTACATCGAAATACTGGGCGCTAAAAGTCATACGCGTTACCCAGCTAAAATTGTTCCGTGATTTGGTGGCACGTTAATCTTGATCAAAGGCTAGGATGGCACGGGTTTGAAATCTAGTTTCCTTGATGGCCAAAAACTTGAGGTAACCGATGTAATCCTGGCCTCCGAGGGATTTTAGGACGTAACAGACTCAAGGATCTTAAAGTTTCCCAGCATGAATTGCGCAAAAGTCAACTGGAGAGGTTTAGATGCTTCCCATCAGGGCCAAAAATATGATCGGAAGGTAACGGTGGCTTACCTTCTGACGCATTAGAGCCATTTAGAGAACGCCAAGCCATTGTTGTAGTTGCTTGTTCGGTCGAGTGGTCTAACTGTTTATTCGAGGGAGCGGCTGCCTTTAGATCGCAAAACTCGGCGTCGATTTTGCCGAGCTCGTCGTCCAGCTTAAAGGGAGGAAGCGATAAAGGCTGCCAGACATCCTTTAATGGAGAAGACACTCGGGAAACCGGGGCAGCCACGGAGACAGCGGACGATGGCTGCATCAGAAGAGTAGCGATGACTCGGCGTAAAAGAATTTTCTGCCCAACTACAATGGAACCTCCATATATTAAACTAACCTCTATATAACGAAGTCCTCGGTATGGCGAACGATTTTCTTTACCCTAGTAATAGGAAAATAGGTAGAAAAATACCTCGATATAACGAAACCACGTTATAGCGAACAAATTTTGCCAGTCCCTTGGCACATCAGTATATCGAGGTTCCACTATACAAGTTTCACGTCCGTGAAATCCTGCTCGGTAACTTCGGTGAGAACAGATTCCGAGGTGATATAGCGCTCTGCTAAAACTGCCATGAGACTTTCAGGAAGGTTATGTTCGAGGCAAAACTGAGTCAACAAACGGTTGTCAGTGGTCTGAGGAGAAGACTTTTTCCCAGAGCGCTTAGGTGTGGCATGATAAAAAAAGAAAAAAGGCGAGTTCTTAAGTCGAAGGCGAGCTGACAGTGATGTAGTCATTATTACAATTCAACGTTGATAGAATTAATAAGAAAGTAAGAAACCATGTTCAAAAAATACAATGACTAAGACAGATACAATACAAAAGGAATACAAAAAAATCAAACATAAACTTGTGTACAGTATGTTTGCTTAAAGGGATACGTTTCTAAAACTGTGCACCGAATTGGCTCGTCCACAATGTCTTCGGAAGAGTGTTCCTCAGTTTAACACTATAACAACAAATAAAACATAAAAACGCTGAAAATGTGGTTTTGACTTCTTTGTTTTGCTGCAATTTCTTTCTGGACGTTTATTCGTCGCTAAATATTTGTCATCCGTGAACTACCCTGAATACCTTCCCGGCTTGCAATGTACTCATAATTTTTTTATGTGTGTACACGCCAATTTGTTTGCTAAAACAAAGACTAAAACAATTCTTCGTGAAGATAACATCAAACATAACATAACTAGATATAGTTAATACAGCTAATTTATAAAAGTGCTCCCTTACATATCAAAATTTTTTCCTCTATCGCCATAATTACAGGTGCTTTACCACTGAGGTCTTTTGAGTCGATATCAAGACCAAGTGATATCAGCTTGTTCATAATGGATGTATTTCCACCTTGTGCAGCAAAGTGAAGCAGACTAGACCCATCGTTGCTTTTCAAAGATGGATCAGCACCATTCTGTATCAGCATCTCAAAAGCACTTTGTTTGTCACAAAAAGCTGCAACCATCAGTGGAGTGGCACCAGCATTGTTCCTTGAATCAACGTCAAGACCAAGTGATAACAGCTCGTTGATGATGGATGTATTTCCACCTCTTGCAGCAAATTGGAGCAGACTGGACCCAATGTTTCCTTTCAAAGATGGATCAGCACCGTTTTGTATCAACATCTGAAAAGCAGCTTGTTTTCCGTTTTCAGCTGCAAGTGGAGTGACGCCATCATTTTCCCTTGAATCAATGTCAAGACCAAGCGATAACAGCTTGTTGATGATGGATGTATTTCCACCTTTTGCCGCACAGTGGAGAACACTGCCTCCAAACATACATTTCAGAGATGAATCTGCCCCGTTTTCTATCAGCATCTGAAAAGCGCTTTCGTTATCATAAGAAGCTGTATTCATCAATGGAGTGACACCACTATTAGTCCTTGAATCAACGTGAAGACCACGTGATAATAGCTCGTAGATAATGGATGTATTTCCATTCTTTGCAGCAGCGTGGAGCAGAGTTAACCCATTGTTGTATTGCAAAGACAGATCAGCACCGCTTTTTATCAGCAGCTGAAATGTACTTTGTTTCCCGTAGGCAGATGCAAACATAAGTGGAATGGCTCCATCACTGTCTCTTGAATTAATGTCAAGACCAAGCGATAACAACTTGTTAATAACGGATATATTTCCCCCTTGTGCAGCAAAGTGGAGCAGGCTGCACCCATTGTTATCTTTCAAAGATGGATCAGCACCCTTTTGTATCAAAATCTGAAAAGCACCTGGTTTATCATTAAGAGCTGCCCTCATCAGTGGAGTCATACCTTCCCTGTCCCTTGAATCAACCTCAAATCCTCGAGACAGCAGTAACTCAATGATTTCAATGTTTCCATAACTTGTAGCAGCATGAAGCGCCTCAACAGTCTGCACTTTGTACTCAGCTTTGGAATCAGTGTCTTCGATATCAGCTGAAACAAACTTCTTATGAATGGATGAGGCACTTTGTCCTAGAAAGACAATTTTGAAATATGGATGAAAGGAAGAAATTCATAGAATATATTTAAAACGAGAACTGCATAGAAATGGAAAATGAGAAAGCGAAAAATATGGAGAACGATACATATTTATGCTTAATGGAGTTTGACAATAAGGAGGTTGACAGTTATTCATAGGTGGGCATGGGATGGTCTTGAAATAAGGCCCTGTGCGCACAACTTAAAATTATGTTTGTTTGCAAAAAAAAACTGTCAACAGGTGTTGCGGTCCAAAGTCGAAAACTCAAACTTTGCGTATGTTAAACTGTGTCTTTATTGCATAAACATTCCAGGTTTCCAAAGACAAATAGATCTGATCCGAGTCAACTTCAAACAAACTCACGATGAAGTAGGTCCAAATAATGTCAAATATCCTACGCACGACGAGTTAGGTTTTCTAGAATCAAAATACAAGCTTATAATGAGTTCAGACCAATGACCAATTAAAGTTCGTTTAATTGATGTTTCTGGTTATGAGAAAAGTTTCGTTTGTCACAGATGCGAACAAGGTTGCAAAAACAAAAAAAATGGTGATTACAACATTTTCCAATTTTTTTCAAATGCCAAACTCTATTTTTAGAAGAAGGGAAAACCCCTTTCGTGAAAGGCCACAAACCGATGCCTATTCACATTTTTTGTTCTCGAACCAAATTTCGTGATTACGTTGCTGAGTATCAGGTGTTTCTGGGGGAAAAGGGGAAAAAAATCTCCTCTCCCCTAGCCCTTTAGGAAGGCCTGATACTCAGGCTAACGTTTCAGAGGAAGACTTTCTATGCAAAATATCAGATGAATCATTAGAAATTTTTAGCCGTCCTCAAATAGTAGCAAATTCTAGGCAATATTTACTTCTCTGAACAGATATTTTACAGAAAAACTTTGTTGGGTGCCCTTTATGTCAGACCCTGAAAGTTATTATTATTTTTTTAATAATTGAGGAAGAGTGGAGGCTACCCCCAGTTCAGGAAGACCAAAACCCCCACTCTGAATACATTTATGTGTAAACCTCCAGGAATTTATGTGCGTATATGAGTGTGAATGTATGTCAGAGAGAAAAATAACCTTCACATAATTAAGAGTATTTCTTCGCAGGCAATATCATTCACATAATATTCATTATTCATTATGAAGATACCTGCATGGTCCTCAGTCATGTCTTCTATCCCCTGAGAAGCCTTGCGTTTTTTTCCTAACGAGCTTAATACCTTCAAAGAATCATCTATGAAATGAAACGGACGAAAACAGTCTATTGCACTGAATATGAATGCATGAAATAAATATGCAAAAAACGTGAAGGCGAGATGGTTGTAAACCGCTCTCCGTAGACTATATCACTATTTTTTCTCAAAATACAAACATCACAGTTTCCTGTAATCCGCTTTGAACTGAAATCTGTTTTCAAGATTTACGAGCAAGAAACTGAGCAATTATTTCTCCTTATGCGCAATGAAACATTGTGTTGAGCAGGAAACAGTAATTTACATTCATACCGTGAGTCAAGCAGATCATCTTTTTAACGAGCTCCTTCATTTGTTCCCCCCAGTTGTATTTCCTGCCATACAAATCACGCAACGTTTTCAGTTCGTCAAGTCGACTTTTCCTGTCTTTGTCCCAGAGTTTCTGAATGGCCGCGGTCCAATCGGCGGGATCCTCTGAGTTAACCACAAATGACGAACCAAAGGGTACACTGCACAGTGCCTGTCCAAAACCCGAGTTGTGACTGACAACCACAGGAAGACCAGCTGAAAGAGCCTCGAGTCCTGTCAACCCAAAGCCTTCTGTTCTTGAAGGCATGACTACAAGATCTACTTCCTGAAACAAGCGCTTTAAACTCTCTCGGTCTTCAACAAGTCCTCTCACCCTCAAGCGATTAAAAGGAACACCATATCTGTTTAACCGTTGGGCTATTTCTTCATGTTTTCCCTCCGGGGCTCCAACAAACACAAGACGAGTATCTTTTAATGCAGCAATCGTTCTGCCAGCGATGTCAAATCCTTTTAATTCAAAATCCTCTACGTCTCCACGACCAAACACCAAGACACTGCGTTGTTGTCTTTCACTAGGAACCTGGCTCACAGTCTCAAACTCATCAAATACTCCAGGAGTGAAGTCAAGTACATGATCATCTTTTTGACAGCCACGAAGATATGAGCGAAAGGCTTCGCTCAACTTAGGTCCAATTCCGACAATATGATCTGCCATTTTACACAGTTCTTTGAATTAAGGTTGGAGTAGCTTTTGAACATCCATATCTCCTCTGGGTCTGTGTGCACCATTTGAACCCATTTGCACTTTCTAAAAATCTTGAAGACCTGTGCTTGTTTACCGAGTTTAACTCCATGACCTACGACTATGTCGACCTGCAAATCTTCTGGAGGAAAGCAAAGCCAGTCCAGTTGTTCGAAGCCAGGCATTGGTGTTGCCTCCACGATCTTGACTTTGTATTTAAGGGCTTCCTTTTTGTCCTTTTGGCTGCATTGTGGCAAAAAGACAGTGATTTCCACTTCAGGACATTTGGCTAACTGAATTGCTAACTCTCTGTTCAAAATAGAAAGCTCCTCTTTGCTTGATCCCCATTCAGAAGCCAGAATAGTAACTTTCACTTTGCATGATCCATGAAATGTCTGTGAAGTAGATGCCATTTTCAGATTTCACAGTTCGAGTTGTCAAATATCTAAAAATATACAAACAAGATAAAAAGCGTTTATCGCTTTCGTCAAAACGCATCGTAATCTTGGTGTTCCTGTGGTACAAAGCCACAAATTTTCGAGGTGCCGATCAGCCGCCCCAACTGATTTTATAAGGGGCATCTCGTTAGCGAAACTGGACTCTTTTCGACTCGATTTTGTTTCCGTAATCAATGATTATCTCTAGTTATAAGCACTTAATGGTACACCGTACTAGTGTTTTGAGATCACCAAGAAGCGTGTTTCTTTTCCAACAGACGAGCCCAGTTATTGCTAAAAACTTTTGTTAATTAAGCTGAGAAACCTTTTAAATGCTTTTTCTAGTTATAGTCCAGCCATATGGTGTAAAAAAATAGCTGAATTGTGCACTTTGAGGTAAAAACATCAAACTCGGCACAGTGATAGTAAAAGTTGTACCGACTACGACTATTTTTAGCTATGAACCCCACTCAAATATGTGCGGGGGGAGGGACATTGTGCCCTTGGGAGGAGGGGTCATGGCCCTTTTGTTTTGGTCCGGAAAAGACTCAAAGTAAAGAGAAAACGTTTATATTTCCATTTTCTTATCAGTAGCACAAGACGAACTCTATAAAATACCTGTTACCTACTTTGTCGAGAGATTTTATGAAAATATTTCAACAAAGTGTGTGAATGATTCTTAATTGTCAAAGCCAAGTGAAGGGCAGAATTAATTTTGAGTTAAAAGCAGACAATATTATACATGCACCCGTTGACACTCCCAAAACTTTTCACTAATATTATTGAGATACTTAACAATTAGTTCATGCGTCAACGTGCGTATGTCGAGATATTGAGCACTCGGGATGTTTAAAGAGCACGAAAGAGGCATAAGAGTTGCTCGAGAGGCAGCCGAGAGCAACTTTAGCCTCTTGAGTGCTCTCCAAACTTCCCAAGTGCTCAATATCTCGACATACGCACTGCTGAAGCATAAACTAATAATTTTATAACTTTTGTAAATAGACTTATTTTTAAATATAATTTAGTATAGTGTTATTCTATCTTATATTATTATTGTATTTTATCGTGTATCTTTTATTACATTTTCATTGTAACTTAGGATATGTATTTTTATCCTTTGATTGAATAAAGACTATTATTATTATTATTATTATTATTATTATTATCAAAGCGATCAATACAGCAGTTAACGGTTACGCCGCGCTCAAAGCAGTACGCGTTAATGTGTACGTGACTATATATTTTTTCCGCACAGTTAAGCTTATGTTTTTATCCTGAAACTGAGAGAAAGTGTACTCTAAATAGATTTCAAAATCCATATCGAGGCGCTGCAAAACTATTAATTCACCGAAAAATTATTTTTCAGAGAAACCTCTTTGCAAAGAATGATCTGCACAAGCACAGATAGGAGATGACAACAACAACAACACTTACTTCCTTTCCCTACTATCGATTAAAAAAATTCAAAAGTTTTTTCTTAAATTACCTTATAACACACATGGTAAACGCTTCATCGTGTACCTTTGAGCAATGGTTGCACTTATGGGAGGCGTCTTGGGAGGATTGCTAAGCTCACAACAACTCGAGGAATAGTTTATTGAGGTCATCAGCGTGCTCAATGGGAATGTACAGCAAGCTCGCGCTATTGGCCATTTCAGAGTTGCGTAGGAAACTGGGGCGAGTTTCAAATTCAAACTAATCGATAAACTGACACCACCATATAAAAGGTCATGTTGAGATTGGTTTTTTGGACAAGTTTGGTGCTCTAAAGTTGAACAGGGATCAAGTTCTGACTCTTGAAACATGGTTAAAGATCCATACAAACCTCTGTAATTTTGTGACAGCGTCCCCCAAAACCATATAAACTGTTAATTTTTTTTCAAGATTTCTGTGATATTCCTAAAAATGGGCAAACACAGTGATTTTCGAATTAGTTCCTTTCCAAGTAGTAGATGCATGACGGATTTTACAGTTTAAAAGAAAAACTGAAAAATTTTAAAGAGTTTATGAGGTTTTTGGGGACGCTGTCACAAAATTATAGACGTTTGTATGGATCTTTAACCACGGTTTCAAGAGTCATAACTTGATCCCTGTTCAACTTTAGAGCACCAAACTAGGTCAAATGACCAATCACAATATGAAATTTTATATGGTGGTGTCAGTTTGTCGATTAGTTTAAATTTGAAACTTGCCCCAGTTCCCTTCGCAACTCCGAAATGGCTAATTGAATTTGAAAGGTCAGGCTACTCAGGAAAATTCAACATGGCGGACAGGAATGGCTGGTCTTTTTGCTCGCTTGTTTGTGTGAGACTATGCCGTTTTTCACCCTCGCAAAGATAAGATATTTCATTTTTATACTTTGATAAAAAGTGAATTGCACTTGTTAGGAATTTAATTGATCAGCCAACCTACCACAAAAAAAAAAACATGAGACACTTGTGAGGCCTTCAGAGTGAGGTCGAGTAGGTCATATTTTTAATTTATGCAACGCGGACTTATTAACAAAAACCATTTTACTGCAGGCGACAAGAGGAACCCGCAATCCTAATCTCCAAGTTGTTATTATGCATGCATCACATGTACGTAGCCAGCATTCGTTTGGACTAAGAATGAATGGAATTCAAAGAACTCAGTTTGATCACTCGCATTTGGATCTTCTATCGCCCGCAAAGCACAGCGTTGGAGTTGAAGCGTTTTCATCTTGCATCGTTGTTGCTTGCACTCCGTAACCTTTGGTTATTTCTAGTTTTCAATAATGTATTGATCTCCCTTACACTTTATTTTTGTCTTTATATCAAAGATAAAAGTGCTGAGCTGAGAAAAAAAGGGAGAAAAAAACGAAAAAGCTTATGGTACAAAATTGTATCAACTGAGACAGTGCGTTTTGTGCTCAAAAGATTATTCAGAAAAATTAGGATGTCCTTTTGATTTGGCGTAAAAGAGTCAGATCCACGGTATGATTCATTGTGCCTTAGCATACTTAGAGCTAAGTGCGAACAGACGCAACAACTGACAACAATATTGGGAGGTGCCGGCCAACAATGTTGCATCCGTTTGAATAAGGCGAAAAGTTTGACCAGTTTCAAACTTTGCTTAACAACCGCCCAGCAACACACAACAACGTGCAACAGGGTGTGCAAACCGACACAACATGTAACTTCCAACAATGTTGGGACTTGTTGGCCAACAATGCCTTGCAAGGGGCTTTGATAGATCAATGTTACTTTGTGAGAAGCGAGCTACAACTGGCACAAATTATGTAGAAACCAGTTTAATGCACTGGAGGGAGTGAGAGCGCTATTAAAAAAAGGAAAAGAGAGTGACAGACGAAAAGATGATGACGGTAGAAAGAAGTTACCAAAGGAGCATTGCAGATACAAAGGTCTGACAAGCCTGTTCTTCTGTTTCAGTGAGCTTCACACCAATTCACAGTACCTCTATTTTTAACCTGGGTGGAACATAAGAGACAATTTTCGCATCATTAAAGACACATCACTACTCGGTAAACTAAGTGCGGGTTTTATAGTATTTGATGCACGGCCAGTAGTGCCAGGGGTGAAAAATTAAACCGTCAAACAAACTTATGAAGACTCCATATGCTACGCCGGCACTGCACTCAGAGCCGGAACTGGTTATTTCACTTCCTTGAAGAAACCGAAATGATTCAGCGTTCAAGTTTTCTGAGCTATCTAGAATAAATGCATCACTGACTAGAGCAGAGGAGGTTGATATTTTACAGCAAGTTCACAGCATAAATCTTAAACCCATAAAACAGCAACGTCTGGATTTAACATCATATAAAGATGTTCGTGAAGTCCTTCTTGCTTTTAGTGAAGACGCTGCAATTGTTTAGAAGAACGCCACAGAGAGAAACATCGATAGCGAAGCAATGGAGATTGCAAAAATAGTCAATATTGTATACTGGGACCCCCTTAACATGGAAAAAAGTTGGTTTCATTGGACATTTGAATTAATGGCTAAGAAGCCTCACATCCCTCAGTCTTTAAAAAGTTTAATTGAGGTCATACTGGTCCGGTGGAGCTAGTATTCACAAATTAATGTATACACTTCCACTTTTGCTAACCGCATTTACTTGTAATGAAAAATGCTGTTTCGACGGCTCAATTTTGTAACTAATAAACCTTTGAAGAAGTTTTTCCACATTTCTGATGCCATTTCTTTATTTTGGATGACACTGGTCGAGGATAATTGAGGGTTGTTTGTCTGATTGTATTGTCGGCGGGGTAATCTCGTTCACCCAGGACCCAGGGCGCGATGTCGATTGAAGTATTTGTAAAGGCTATCCTGAAATAATTATTAAGACGCAGTCAAGCAACATCATACAGAATCAAGCTGCCCTTACTGTATTACACTGGCGTATAAGATTTAACTCCGTGGTTCGACGTCGCAAAGATTCATGCTTAGAATCCACTCCAAATATATGTAGGTCTTCTGGTGTCGGTAACATAGATCAAAACCCCAGTTCTACCACCGCAACTGGTTCTTTACATGGCACAGTAATATCGCCAGTGCTCT